CCAAGGCTCCAATTTCAAGAGTGAATCCTGACTTCATTGAACACAAAGTAACATATCCCTGGTTATCATCAGATATCAACAGAAGATGCCCAAGTTTCTGGCCACATTTCAGAACATGAGAATTCCTTTTTTCCCTTGGGGGAGATGCAGAGGAAAGAGGAGACCCCAAGTGAGGTGCGGCCTTGGAACAGGCCTGGCACAGCACCCCGGGTTCATATTTCAGAGTGTGAATCAGCCTCCATCACCTGGCTGCTCACTGTCACATCCTTTAAAGCTGGGGCAGCCTCTGCAAGGCTTGGCAAGCAGCTCCTGCTTTTCCTGGAGCTCGGGAGAAGCTGGGAGCCCTGATGGCCTTCCTGAGGAAGTCTGGGATCCGTGCAAGGCGAGCCGTGCAGCTTTGTCACCTCACTCTGCTGGCTCTTTCTCCAGCCACGCACATTCTCACCTCGCAGCCTGCCGAGGAGTTGGGCATTGCAGTAACAGTGAATTGGGACTGCCAAGCTCTGTCATTGCAACTCCTCCACCTAACAAAGATCTTTATTGCAATCAGATGGGACAGGGAATTAAATGGCCAAGCAGTTCGTCAGCAAGTCAGGATAAATGTGACAACTCTGCCTGATTACATGGAGGTTAGAGCTGCTCAGAATTGCTGCTGTAGGGAGCAGCAGATCGGAATAAGTGCAGTTGGTGGTTTGCTACCTGCCTGTGCTGTCTGGGAAATGCCACGGCTGCAAAGAAGCACGGGAGGGACACGGCAGGAGCATCAAGGAGAGGCAGAAGAAGCAGAGGACCTGATAACTGGAAACTGAAGAGCCTGGCAACTGCAGATAAGCAGATGCTTATTACTTAATCTGTGAAGAAGTATCATGAGGCAGGTAGTGGGGCTGACATGGTACAGAATTTATTTAATGTGTCCTTTTTATTTTTTGCTTCTCATTCCTCATAGGAGCTTAGGGTTGTACTTTTCCTGTTGGTACAGGAATGGACTGGTCCTACAAAGCTTCCAGACCTTGCAGTTAGTGGGCTCTGTAATATCTGCAAATCAAACTGAAGGCACAAATGGTGGTTTTTTGGATGCTGAGGTACATGCTGAGCCACAACTCATGGTCCTTGTTGAACAGATCTCAAGGATGAAATTCCACTGACGTTTTTCAAGACAGCTGCAATGCGAGCTGAAATAGAAATATTTGTGCCATAGAGCTGGAATATAATGTTTTTTTAAAAAAAAGTATCTTACAAAGTCTGCTGCTCTTCAATAAATAGTGATAACAATAAAAAGCTTGATGGAATTATACTTGATTCTGTTCAAAACTTCTTTCTATTGACAGAAATATGAAGGACTTGGCAGCTGTAAAAATGCAGAGGTTTAGAGGAGAAAGATTCAAAGGGAGAGAAATAAGTGAATAAAAAGGAGAGCACATTACAGATTTTAACCACAGAAGACATACTGGAGTATTCAGCCCCAGGAAATTCAAAGAAGGGGGTATTTACTGCAAATTTAAGAACAATGTGGTTACACTGTAGTTTATATCTTGTGGCATTCAAGAAAAGTGGTTAGAAATTGTGTATTCTGTGCTTAATGAGAGAAAAAGGTTTTACTTTGTGCTTTGTAATGTTGAAAGCATGAGGATCTATAAACAACAGCATAGTTTAATCAAGTTTCACCATTAACTCCTAGAATTATTCCAGAAGTTCCCAGCATTCTGGCAAAGTTTCCCCTCTGTCATCTGCACCCAGAATCTTCACTTCTCATCTGATGCTCACAAGGAGTCACCACAGAGGTTGCCATTTCCCTGATCACAGTTCTGCATGGTGAAACTGCTTTTTGGTATGAACCAAAAGCCTTTGAACTACAGCCTTTTGATACCATCATCATTGTCCTCAAGGAGATCTGGGATGGTGTCTTTTAAACTTCCTGTAATCTTGAAATCATCCCTGTTGCTACCTTTTATGTTTTAATTGTCAAGCCAATTTGTGTTTCGTATAGAAACATGAAACATTTTATTCCAGTACAGCTGATTCTCAAAATATCCACATCCTGAGGTTTGTAGTTCAGTTTAGTCATGCTTTCGTTTGTTCAGTTGCCTTTATCATGCAGCATCTCTAGGGAGTAGCTCTTCTGGAACCTTCTCAGGTCATTTGGAAACTATCTGCATCATCATCAAAAGTACTGATGTTAAAGAAATGCCATTTCACTGGTGAAGTGCTGACAACTGCCCAAGATGTTGATGATAGTTGGTATTTTACTGTTTTTTTGGTTTTTTTTGTTTGTTTTTTTGGTTTTTTTTTTTGTTTTTTTTTTTTTTTTTTTTTTTTTTTTTTTTTTTTTTTTTTTTTTTTTTTTTTTTTTTTTTTTTTTTTTTTTTTTTTTTGAGATAAATTTCCATTATTAGTAAGGAATAAGAATGCTGGGGAGCCCACTGGCAGACTTTGACTTGCAGCATTTCCTGGAACACCACAGTATCAAGGTTTGAAAAAAGTCAGTTCTGAATTCTTTATCAAAGTTCTGACAGTCCATGTAAAGTGCTTTGCATATCTTTCTCAGTCGCACGATTTGTTATTTTACATTTACATGTAAAACACATTGTTCTAGTGTTAAAATTTCCTAAATAATCTGCCTACCAAAACAAACATTATGGGGGGGGGGAAAAAGGAAAAAAAAAAAGTTGTGTATTTCCAGTAGAAAGGGTTTTTTTTCCCCCTCAGTATTTGCTCTATAATATCTCTGGTCTGGAGCAGGTGGTGTGAGAGGGTTTAATTCTTTGCTGAATGAGGACAGTAGTTATTATCCACCCAACCATAGTTTTAATTTTGCTGCGAGCACTGTAGCTAAATGCTTCTTAAATGTTTTCATTTAGAGAACAATTTAAATATTATTGTTAACAATTGGTGATTGCTTTATGTTCTAAAAAGTATTATTCTTTGCATTCCTTTTTCTGAAGCAGTGAGTATGAGAAGATCTTGGACATGACCAAGAACTTGTATTTTATAAACAAAGGGTCAAAATAAGTTTGCTTTTGTGTTAATTCTGGGATAGTTGCTTGGCTGGAGATATGAAAACATATATGATATTAAGATATAAGAACAAAGGTTTCTAAATCAGATTACTTTAGCGTATGTGTTCTTTTAATATTAAACGGAAAATATCTGAAAATGTCATTATCCAAAATACACAGAGAAAGTTTGGATGCCTTCATTGCATCAAGTCCTTATATCTATGTCAGTGCATCCAGGAACTCCTTTCTTCCCAAATAAGCTTTCAGGCATGAGAACAAAGCAGCAAAAGCCTTCCTCTCATCTTTCTTCTTGCCCCCACTGTTTTTAATAATGTCTGTCTGACATGCCAACAATCAGGCACATGCTCTGCTGCTGCTCCTGTCTCCTCTCAGCTGCCTGAGAGGGATGAGGGGTGGAATTGCACATCAAGGATCTCTTTTGTTGGTGGAGCAACCAGGAGAGCGTTTCCAATTTGCAGTTTGGCACCGGCGCTTCAGAAGCACCACGGATGTTTGATACCCACTTGGTCGCCTGCCACCAAACTTGGGGATCAATCACTGTGTTGTGACAGGATGCAGAAGGAAAAAAAAAATCCCCAAAGTACACATGCACATAAAACAAACGAAAAAAAGAAAAGGAAAAAAAAAAAAGCAGGGGAAACCTGATTTTTATTTTGAAAATAGTAGGACATCTTACAGATTGAGAATTTTATTGGAAAATGTGAAGGAGGAGCAAGTGGGTCTGTGAGTGTGAATATACGTCTGTATTTCTCTTGCACAACATCTCACAGACAAAATATTTCATAATTTGATTCCACTGACAGTTCTTGAGTTAAACCAGGGATTGCACCCAGCCATTCTTAGGCAACCACTTCCAAGTTAGTCCAAGACTTCTTGTGGCAGATCTGCATTCTTCTTAATCACTTGCAGTCAATCAGATTTTAATTTGTCTTTGTCTTCAGCCCTGCAAAGTTTGGGCCTGAAATTTTTTCTGCTTCAAGGATCAAAGAGTGTTTTCCCTGTGTGTGTCAGGCACACTTATGGAATGCTCTCGTATGTTTATTTAGCTCCATAATTATTCCATATTAACAAAAGCAGATTGTTTCAGGAATGTTTTTCAGAAGAGCCTGTTTGAAATCAGGCTTTGTTGGAATTATGGCACCTCCAATTCTGCAATTTTCCTTTTGAAATACATTGTAGGAATTCACTAGAAAATCTATAACAACCCCATTCAGGGATGAATGGCTTATTCTGCTTCTTATCTTGTTAATCAATATTGTTAACTAGCTGTGATGGACATAATTAATGGAATGACCCTAGCCCCTCCTAATTAGAAATAATTGCCTTGTTCAGTCACATTCACTCACCAAAATATAAGTGTGTGAGCATAAATGTCATAACTTATTTTAGATTCTGCCTTGATCATTATGTATCCTGTTTTCTTGTTAACAACTCATTTTAATTCTTGCTCACCCAAAAAAGCTGAAAGCCATGAAAGGGCCCTCTTACCTCTCCGAGCTGGATGGCCAAATAACACATTATTATATTGCACACTTACAGTCAGGAGGGTAAAATGAGGAGGGTAAAACCACTGCTTGGCTCTGGCTTCCATCCATTGCCCAACAGCTTCTCAAAGATGAGAGATGTCTTAGCTTGAAGTTAAATGGTGCTTGCATCAGAAAAAAACCCTGAATTTTGGTATGCATTTCATGTACCCTTTTATCAGCTTTATTATTTGTTATGCTTTTGCTGAGCTTCCTTGAAGAAGAACAAAAGGGTACACTTATTATGCAGCTATTTCATGAGAGCTATTTAAAATAACATTTGAGGAGGAAAAAACAAATCAAAATGAATAAAAGCCTGGCAAACACATGATGAAACAGAATGAATATCAGAGCTATTAAATTAATAAGCTTGCAAAGCATTATTTATGGTATCTCAATGGAAGTTTAGAAATTGATAGTGACTTCTCCAAATTAATTGAGCACCTTTGTTGTATTTCAGGAATACAGGTTCAAACCCACCGTGCCCGTTCCTTGTGGGGAAGATCGTTCCACCTGCCAAAAAAACCTCAGGAGTTTAATCTGATTTTCATCTTCTCAAGGTAAACAGTGGAGGCATTGACTCAGGATGGCATTCATTCAGCAGAGCTGTGCAGTCTCAGGTTGTCTGCACCCCGTTGTCCAAGCTGCCCATTAAAGGAGTGTCTGAAGCAGCAGCCTGAGGAAGATTTGACCTCTCCATGGCCAAATCTGCACAAGCGCAGACGCAGGATTTGGTTTTAAGCACTGACACGCTCGGGATGGGCTCAAAGCTCCTGCCAGCTCAAAGGCCAGAGGAGTGACTCCTGTGAGGAGCATCTCACGTGCTTGGGGCTGGGGGACATCCCTCAGCTGTGTGCCCAGAGCCCTGCAGAGAAGCACAGGGTCAGACACATCTGCGCACCAGCTGGTAGGACTGGAGGGGCAGAGGATGGAATGAAGGACAGATTTTTTGGATATCACCTTTGCTGTGTTGGTTGATATTCACTGGTGCCAATCAGATAGAGATACAGGTGTCTACTTCACCAAAAAAAAGGGTGTCAGCAGACCAGAGCTGCTTCCTCAGAGTTACCTGGCTTCCTGATGGCTTTGAATTGTGGTGAGTGGCTGAAATTCCAGTCCTTTTTGCTGTAGCTGGGAATTCTCCCTGAGTGCCCACGTTTCACCATTAAAAGTACATCTGCTAATTCTTCCAGGATAAACTATTTCTCTATGACACTAGTTTTCTCCAGATTTGCTAAAATTTGGTTATTTCTGTTACAGCTTCTCATGCAGGAATGAGAGCTGGAGAGAACCACTGGGAAGTGAACAAGGAAGATGGAGGAGCACTGACAGAAACAATCCCACCCTGACGTTGTTTCACTTTGCTATTCCATTTCTCTTCCCTCATTTTTGCTTCCCCTTTTCTCTGACCAAGTTTTTCCTGGAGTTTAATTTTTTCCAGTGAGAGCTCTTATTCAGAACAATTCTGTTAAAAATTTTTTCTAAGCCATGTTTTCCAAGTGCCTAACAGCTCAAATTCTACAGTAAAATAAAAATCCCATGTATAATGTGGTGAAGGTTTTAACTTTGCAGTGTTTGGTTTATTATTCACCACCTTCTCTTGTGGTGTTCAGCTTGCAACTGGTGTGATTTTGCAGAAAACCAGGTCCACCCAATGTGAGCTTTAAACAAGATATTGGATGAGGGCTCATGATTTCCAGAAAACATTCAGTAATAAGTAAAAGAAGCACTAGATTGGATTGAATAATAGCACAGGAACAAGCAGTTCTGTATTAATTTCTTGCAAATCTACTTCTGCAGGTAGATTTTCAATTCTGACAATTGCTGCAAATGTTGTTTGCCAGTACCAAGCATCAGTTCGTGGTAAGCAGTAAAAGTTTATCAAGCTGGTTTCTCCCCCTCGTTGTCCCACTTAGAATACTGACATCTTACCAAGAAATAGTGCAATTTCCAACCAGAATTTCTTTGGCTTCTTTGGCTGAAAGGTGTTTCACACCACAGAGTGAGCAAGGCCATCCCCCCATGTCCTCCCTGCTCAACTGCAGAACCTCGTGGGACCCTGCTATAGATAACTACCAAAGCTTTGGGCCTCATTCCTTTCTTCTGAGCTATAATCAAAGCACTATTTTCTCTTTTCATATTGTCTGTCTTGGCATTTTTCTTTCCATTGAAATGTTCCTACCTTGAGCTTCTGAGATGAGCAAGTGTTTCATCTGCTTTGGGTTGTTCTCAGTCAGGGTGAAAGACCCAGTAAATTTTTTGGGCTGAAAAGCAGAGAAGGGATTTTTCCTGATCCAGTTTCTATCTGGCTTAGGTTTATGTTTTATGTTTTTTGTTTTTCTATCTGTATTAGGTTTGGTTTCTCTTGAATTCCTTGCATATCTTACTGGGTTAATACCAAGGACTTTATGGCTCAGGACTGTATTCTCATAGAGCTTTAAAGGACATTGCTCTTGGCTGGTATTTCCAGACACTGCTAGAATGCAAAAATAAAAAATCCAAAAAGAAAAGGAAAAAAGGGTAAGATTATATGTGCTGTTTATATTCATGTTTGTACCTGTAAGGATGTGTTGATGGGGAGGTGTGGTGAAATGATAAAAAGGTTATGAAAGGCCGTTATTTCTTCCTGTGAAATCAGGAACTCCTAAAGGCACCAATTTAATTCTGAGAGTGAAGTGAAAAGGACCAGGACGATGCAAAGGTAGCACAAAAAAAAGGAATTGAAAAATTATAATGGAAAAATCTATATTTCAAGCACTGGCAGGAATATATTTATGCATGGAGAGTATTCTGTGATTGATCTGCAATAAAACTGAGTGAGACACAAAAACAACACAGAGATGTTTGTGTCACTCTGCAACCTCCACTGGAGATAAATATGAAATACACTCATATTTCTTGGGAGATCTATTTTAAACCTTCCTCCTTCCAATGTGCTCTTAACTTCAGTAGTGGATTTGTAACAAATTCCTTGCATCTGATGGAGTCATGTTCATCTTCCTGACCCACGAAATGGCTTCAGAGTTCTGTCCTCAATATTTAAATGGTTACCTTAAACCAAAAAGCCTACAGTTCCCAAAATACATGTTGAGAGACAAGAGTCCTGATTGCTCTCAGTCAAATCTCTTTATCCCCTATTTTCTGTTACACAAAGAAAACCATCTGTCACGTTGTCATTAAACTTATTTTTCTATTAACCACAAAGTAAAAAAAAAAAAAATGCCTGGTAAATTGAAGTTGCCTTAGTCTTTCACTGGGTTTATTTTTTTTTTTTAATAATTGGACTTGGTGATGTTAAAGGTACTTTCCAACCTTAATGATTCTGTGAGTGCTGCAGGAGAGGGGGTGGAGAGGATTTATACTTTCTCAGTATTAATATACTTTGATTTGAATGCACAAAGAATGGACTGGAAAGAAGTACTGGAAAATATATTAAGCAAACCCACAAGGTTTCTGAAATGCAGAAACCAGCAGCCAAAACTACCATTGTGCCTCCTGAGTTTGAAACACCAAAGTCACAGTCCTGGCATCAAATTTTACATCACCTGCCTTGAATTTGACATCCTATGTTGCTTTAGGGAACCCTTTAAATATTATATTTCTTGATACAGACTTGAACTACATATTATTTAGTTACAGTTGTTCTGATTTGCTGTCAAAAAAATAAAAATAATAATTTGAAGACTTTATTTTCCTACATTGGATTGTCTGTTCAGGCTAAGGTGGATAAGGCCCAGCAATGAGACACAGATCAAAGATAACTTTGCATCTCTTAATTTTCAGGGCCTTACAGAATTCTTTAGTGGGAAGGATAATTTAGGATAATTTTCAGCACATGGAAGGAAGAGGAGATGAAAAATCAGGAAAGAAATCTTTCCCTCCCATCTTTTGAGGATATCTGATATATCCATAGTTCAGTAATACCAGTATTTTCTTTTTTCTTTTTTTTTTTTTATTTCAGAGCCTATAAAAAATTAATTTAAAAAAATCAAAACAGAAGTGGCCAGGGGAGTTCAAGTGAGACTTGATATTTACACTCAAGATTGAAAGTCTGAAATGAAGAGCTGTGTAAGGTAGTAAATGGTATCCATGATTCATTGCCCAAAATAACACCTTGAAAGGAGATGATGTCTGAGATCCCCCAGAGATAAAAGGAAAATCTTCTGTGATATGATTGGCCTCTGCCTCTAGAAAACAGCATGATTTATAAAGTATTTTTTGCATTAAGGCAAGTGATGGAGGAATCAGGTGAAACAGTGGCGAGGCTTTATGACAGAAATCTTATTTTCTGTCCTGGCTTTTAAGATTAAGCCTCAAATCTTGTAACACCTTTGTCACAGCACCACATAAAAACTTTCAGAGGAAACTGAGTATTTGGCAATGCAGAAGGCAAGCTGAATTCCCTTCTGAGAATATGCAGAAGTCATTGGGGTGTCTGCAGGCTGATAGACACAGTGAGGAGAGTCTCCAGAATGAAGAATTAGTTTAAAACCTTACATTTATTGCATCACATTCTCTAAGATCCACGAAATTGTTCTGCATTTGGAGAAAAAAAAAAAAAGGACAAATGAGATAATTGTCCTGCAATTATTGACAGAATGGGATGCTCAGCAGTAGGAAAACTAATCTGGAATTCAAGTCAGGGTAAGGGAAAGTCATTAGCTATGCTGTGTAAAGCAGACATATACAATCAATGTGTGAATGTCACGTTTGTCAGGCCAAAGTGATGGGAAAAGACTACTACTAAAAGAGAGAAAATTGAACACATCTATAACAGTGTAGGATAGTTCATATCCTGTTGTAATTGCCATGCACTTCAAGCAGAATGAGAATAGCAAGGGGGGAAAAAAAATCTCTCCTGAGCTTTAGGGCAGCACTGGAATGTGTGACAAAGGTAAGGGCTTGGAAGGTGATGTTGGGAAGAAACCTGAGGCCAAGCAAAGATCAGTGAGATGGTGTGTGGGGGGGGAAAAAAGCAAAGAAAAAAAGCAAAAAAACCAAAGCTGAATTGAGCTTTAGGCAGCCAGGGAGAAAGTATCTGTAAAAGAACCCCAGATGGTGCCAGCAAGAACTGATGGTTCTGCTCCTTCTGTCTGTTAAAATGTGTCAAGTGCGCAAGGTCAAAGTGCACATGGTGATTTGATGGCAAACAGAGACATGTTAAAAAGTGAAACTGCTGTGGCAGTTTGGATATGCATTATTGATAGGTGTTCATTGGGTAAGATAATATTTAAATATTGCACATTCAGGATTACTGCTCGGTCTGGTGGGGTGAGGTGACTGATGTGCCACCGAGGGCAATCCTTCATGGAGGAAAAAGCTGAAAAAAACCCCCAAAACTGAAAATGGAAATAATATTACCTCATTACCAAGCCAGGAATCCCAGATTTATTTCAGGCTGTGTCAGGTAAAAAGTCTGAAAGCTTCTGAATGTGCACAGAAGTAGGAAAGTCTGAAGGTGTGAAAAAATAGCTCTTGCTTGAATTCCTGCAGTATTCCAGGTGCTACAAGCATTGTCAAAGATCCTATTTTACAGGAATAATAATGATGATAAATAAAAGTTACGAAATAAAACTCCAAAGCACCAGATCA